AACCATTTTTATCACCCGGAATCGATTGCGGTCGTAACGACTGCACTTAGGTATGCGATCCCTACATACTGCAATCACCTCGCTCCTTTCAACCGCCATCACCGACTTCCTACCTATTCCATTGACCGTAAAACCAGTGTTAGGTGATATTGTTGCAGTTCTTCACGATGACTGCGTTCAAGCATACGACCCCGCAACAACTTAGGTTTTTGAACTACTTTCATAAAGTTATTGTTTTGTTTAAACTGCTACACCGTAGGCTAGCCTGAAGAAAGACCGCGCGGTCTAGTTGTCTCCTCGCTCCTCGGAGATGGGAACAGCTGTTGTCCTTGGTAACCATCGGAAGTTATTCCACCTGATAGAGGAAACGGGCAGCACGAGACTTAATGTTAGAGAGACTATTTGCGAGAATATTTGACAACCTATACACAACCTTTACAATGCTTGGAACTTTGGACTGAACACTTTTCCAGGTAATCTAATTGGCCAGAAATACTAGATCCGCTACCGGCCAGTAGCTTTCCTGCTCTCTGCGCCGTCCCCTTGGATCTATTCTCTCGTTTAAAAGTCAAACGTGAAATCGGGCTGCTAAATTTGGATACGGCTACGCGACCACATGATGTCTCTCTAGTCCTCTTCTTATTCGGGAGACCTGCTCTTGCGGGTGACTTAAACTGTCCGTTATTGAAATTGTAGCAGAAAGAAACTGTCCCACCTGAATAGAGCTACTCCGTTATTCTTCCGACCTTAAAGCGTGACACGTTCGTAATGTGGTAATAATCAAGGAGTTAGTCTCATTTCCATTGCTCCCAAGTAATTTGCCTTCGTTAACCTTCAAAGTCGACTGGTGTCGTTGAAAGCCGGATTCGTTAAGGGCAAGTAGGGATTCGTCGAAATCAAAGCCGCATTGACCACATTCTGTGCTGGAACTGTCTTATCAGAGTGAACAGTTGGTTCATAGGAGCTGGTCAGAAAACCAATGAGACACAGATATAACGGATTCGCTCGCTGTACACGGACCGGACGTTTGTGTGGGGGTTCTCACCGCTTGTTTAACTGAGTCAAAGAAGGAACATCCTCGACTCACAAGGCTCGTTGTTTATGGAATTGGACGGCCAATACATACCAAGGAGTTCGGCATGCCAAACATGCTGTACTTTTCGCTGTCTCTAATTTACAGAATAAATGCTTGTCCTTGAAGGACTGGGTTCTGCAATAATTTTTACTCTGTCACTTGTTGGAGCACCGCCACTTACGAGGGGTGTACAAAAAAACGAACTTTTGAAATAGTGAGGTAACCGACAGAGGGAGCGCACTGCGACTACTTAAGGTATGTAGAGGCCTGTTTAGACAACTAACTGCCATTTGCAGCATTTCGCTTTGACTGTTAGTTGGCGAGCTGCATCCGCTGTTGTGGGCACGTGCACAAATTGAGCGTCGAGTTAGCCTCAAAGTAACAATGAAAGAGTTTTAAGAACAACGCACGTGTGTGAAAGTTTGCTAAAAGCTCGGCAAAACATTAAGAGACATTTCAGTTGCTTAGGCAAACATACGGAGAAGACCGTATGAGTCACACGCAGTGCTATGAATGGTTTAAATGTTTTGAGCACGGCAGAATGTTGGTCCATGACGGTCCCAAGCGTGGACTACGTTCCACGTCAACAGACGATGACCATTTCGTGAGAGTTCGTGATGTGATCCGTGGAAATCGCGGTTTAACTGTTCGAGAAGTTGCTGACGCATTGGGAATCAAGCGTAGGATCTTGCCATCAAATTCCAGCGCGTTTGTGGTATGCTGTACACAGCAATAGGCACGAACTGTGGGGAAACGAGACTTGGATGTCGCATCATGCTAACGCGCCGGCTCACATATCGCTCCTTGTCCGCAGCTAGCTAGTAAAACATCACACTCCCGTTGTACCCCATCCACCGTGTTCTCCGGACTTAACCTCTTCAGACATTTTCCTGTTTCCCAAACTTGAAACCACGTTGAAACGATGTTTGTATCAAAACCATAAAGGAGAATCAGGACAAGGCGACAAGAGACTTGCGCGCCATCCCAGAAAATCCGTTCCAGGAGACTATCTACAAATGGTGACATCATTGGGAACGTTATATTGATAGTAATGAGCAAGAACGAAGTTATAACAAAAGTTCGGGTTCTTTTTGTGGCTCTTTCGTATGTTAGAGACCCACCATGGTCGTTCTCCTAGAAAACAAAGGTGGATCCATGTGCCATTTCGTACTGTCTGCTCCGGAGAATGTGTGACTGAGAAATAGGTGACTGTTGTTAGAGTAAGGTGTCATCACCCCTCAATAATCCTGTGGCGGAGACAAGAATGCCCAATCTCACCTTTCCTTTTACTTCGCGATTGACGAACTCATGGAAACTACGTTCACTGGACAAAGTATATGGAGCTGCTTCCGAATGAATGACGATCTGACTTGGAGTATGCTGACGATATTGCACTGACACCACCCGAATTCACCAGTCAGCACTGAGCAAATTGCTACTGGCTGTTAACCGTTTCGGGCTATGCTTTGTACCCTCGAAGTTTAGCTAGGACCGACAATGCAGTCCTCTTGGTGAAGATCAGCTGGATGTCGTTCAGAAGTTAAACTACTTTGACAGCTGTATCAGCGTCTGTAAGATCGATGATGAGATCACAAACCGTATAGCGAAGACCCAAGATGCTTTTGTTCAACGCCGCCACCTTTAGTGTCTTCGAAATATCACCCTCGCCCGTCCAACTCTACTGTACGGTTGAGAAATCTGACCCATCAAATCGACAGATGTGAAGAGACTTGTTACACTTACATCGGGTTGGGATACTGTGCAAACAATGCGTTTATTCGACTACTTGTTTACGGCGCGGGAAAAGCGTGTGAAATACTCAGCGCCGATATATCACCCACCAAGGTCGATGACTGACCTACGTGTTACGCATGTCAGCACACCCATTCCTGCGGGGTACTTTATTTGCACTTTTTGCAAATGTATAAAAGAAGAAAGCATGCCAGCCGATGATCTGGTCATGAAGATACAAGGGCCTCACTTCAAACTTGGCCTCCGTTGGTCACTTGACTGCCGGGTCGGGGTCCGAAAGACAACGGTCAAGTTTGGTTGGAGACACTTGTCGACATGGCGGAAAACCGGCCACATCTGTGTTTCGAGTTTCTTTATCCAGCTCCATTCCGCTTAGCCTCTTCATCCAACCATGATCATGTTGGTGATGCATACTGTCAAACAAAGCAAAATAATATTTTCGTTTCGCATTGTTTTCTCGTTTTTGCCACTACCTGATTGATTTTATTGCGTTTCAAAACCCGCGCTGTTGCTTACGCCTAACAAATATGTTGAATGCTGATCATTTAAACTACATTGTATATACATGTATATAAAGTGGAAGGACTCTTATTCAGTTTAAACATATCTAGTTTAAGTGTAATTTGGTTTAGCCCAGCTGCGGTGCAAAGGCATCATGAATGCAACATCAACCTCAGCATGGTAATATATATATATATATATATATATATATATCCAGGGTTAAACACGTTGACATATTACATTTTATATTCAGCTTTTGCACTCATACCATTGCCGAGTCGGTGGTGATGCTGAGATCGCATTTGTAGTTGTGCATGCGTAGGATTTTCGGTATTACACTTCGCTCTCCCAGATCACTAAACGCACTCGATTACACATTGCACCGCTGTTTTGCAGTAGTATTCAACCGAGTAATCATTAAAGCAGAAAAGTACTCCACTCCTTCGCTTAGACGCAAATTATGTTAATGAGATGTAGACGTCTCATTTCTGCCCACTTGATTAGAGCAGTTACGATTTTTAGTAAATCCATCTTATCTTCCATTATTACCCTTCATTAGTGGAGTCCTTACTGTTTTATAACCATCCCGGTACAACGTATTGGCCAGTTCATCGCTTGTTGTAAAGCTGTTGAGGTTCTACGTTAAGTCTTTCTCCCATCAGCTAACAAGGTTCACTTAGCAGACGATTGTGCGGTCGAAAAATGCCAGTGTACACCTCAGATGTACTACTGCCGCTACTGATGACGCTTGATCATATGAAGTATTGTTGACTATCGATCGCTCCATTTCGCCTCATCTCATGTCTAGACTTCGTTGCACTTAAGGTCCGTTAACTTTCATGGTTTGTATATCGACATCACATAACAGCTGACGACGTTGTTCATTTGTGTTAAGTAAATAATTCGTCACACTGCAAATAAAACAGCCTCAAACAAGCATCTTTTTAAACTTTTCCGAATTTTTGTTTCACACCTAATCTGTTGTCTAGAGCTAGATATCTTGCTGAGCTCCTGCCCTGTTTCATGTCGGCTAGTTCAACTGAATTATCATCTGGCATTCACTAATCAAATGGCGTTAGTTATTTTACTTTAATTTATAGTACTGAACTGCTAATTGATGCTCAGCGAAGAGTTTCCTCTGAATAAAATGGTGGTGTGAACCAGAGTTACTAATTTACTGGTCCTTCGGTTAACTGTCTAAACTTATCTATTCACCGAAAATTACGGTTGCACATCGGGAAACTGAGCAATTCAGTTCTACGAAGGAAATGCCGTAACCAGTGAGCAACTAGAGAATGCAGAGTATCTCGCGAGTACAGTCCCTGTAGTCTTATGGTTAACCATCAAGGGGACACTTTGGACACATCCTGTCTTCAATTTGGAGAAGAGAAGGCAACGCTAATATGTTCCCACGTTTATATTCAATGATCTGAGGTACATCTATCAGCCTGTCATATTTTGACATGATCCATTCTGTTCACTAGCTAGTAATGAGCAGACATCGGTATTCGCATCACCCTCATGTTGAAGTCGATTTGTAGATCACTGATTGCTTGATTCGCAACCTGGGCTACTTTTCGTTTAATTCAAATCTTTAGCCACTGGTGCAAGCGTAATTTAGCTCATCACAGAAATGACTGGCCGATAAAACAATTTTGTTTTCATTCATTAGGATGACAAAGGACCGAAACAACGACTTCAGAGTTGGTTGGTCCAAAAAATGCCCGAACCCCCGGTTCGGAACTTTACCACAGATTGGAATAATGGCATTGCAGTCGGCGCCCTAGTTGATGCATGTGCACCGGGTCTCTGTCCAGACTGGCCGGATTGGGACAAACGACAGGCACTTCGGAATGCAACAGAAGCCATGACGGCTGCCGAGGACTGGCTGAGCGTACCCCAGTTGATTCGACCGGAAGAGCTTATCAACCCAAATGTTGACGAAAAAGCAGTAATGACCTATATCAGTCAGTTTCCCAATGCAAAACTCAAAGAAGGAGCACCCCTACGACCGAGAACCAATCCATCACAGGTCCGTGCCTTTGGGCCTGGTAAGTGGAGACATTAGGTGAACGTGCTACCAATACTTTTGTCTTTTCATTGATCCTTTGTCAAATATTCTCCCTTTACTTTCACACCAAAAGGTTTGGAAGAAACTGGAAATATCGTCGGAGAGCGATCCTGCTTCACAGTGGAAACGTTTTATGCAGGTCGCGGTAGCCTAGATGTTCTCGTTATCAATCCAAAAGGCACAAAGGATGCGGTATGTTTTTATTCAGCCATTGCTTTGGGATGCACACTCGCCTTAAGTACCAATGAGGGAAACCGCTTCGAAGATGGTTTCCACTAACTTGTGCATAAGCGACGCATTTTCGGCAATCGCACATTAAGATGCACACTGCCGTTCGCGAGTGCCGCTGTTCGTACCAATAGTCATTTTAACCCCAGTTCTTGTTCACTGAAGAGACCACCGTTTCCTTGAAAAGAAGATCGGATCCCAAGGAGGGTCACTGATCATATTCATCGGCGAACTTGTGTATGTGTCAGCTTCAACCATAGGCTTCCGTGTGCCTACCCGAGTGGGGAATGGCGGTGTGCACCAATTTGGATCAGTGATATTTCACTTTATCTCAGGCGTTAATCTGTTTCTTACTGTTGTACCGTGCATTGTATTTTGGTATCCTTTCTTTTAAGTGCTTTGCGAAGTATCACTGTTAGTACGGAACCTCAGACGTGTCTGTTGTGTCAAAATTTTTAGGCATTTTATTACGCTACAAATGACAACTTCGACTCTTTCAGCTTCAGTAAAAATAAACCCGCACTTTGTCATATAAAAAGGGTAGTCGAACGCACTTGTCCGTTACTCGTCAGATGTCAGCTATACCGTTGTCATTTGGGGACGATTGACCCATAATTGTTCCTAGTAAGCAACCTAACCACCAGGGGATTTCAAACCAAGAATCAATGGCAGCAGAAGCACTCAACTCCCACCATGGACGTGTTTTTGGGAAACTGTTACACAGCCTTTTCGCGGTTTTTAGTTCTTCCCTATCATGAGGTATGTTCGCGCATTTATTCGCACAGGATGTCTCAGCCGAACTTTTGGAAATCGACTGTCTTGCGAGATGTTGTGCATATCAGGTCGGTACACCGGGTGGACAATGCTGCACTCCACTGTCTGCTGGTTAGCTCGAGATCTTCTGGTACCGCATTAGAGTGTCTATTAAACTTGACCCGCTTACACTCCGTATATCCGTTGGTCATCTGTCACTGTGTGTCAAATGAACCCTCGGGTAGCTATCTGATGACGCGACAAAAAGACGTGAGGAACACAGGCCAAACTAGGAGATGATTTTTATGTAGACATCTACTCTGCGACGGGGTTCTCGGTGCATCATTAAACTAAGGGCATTGCTGCAGATGCAATTGTGGAGATGCAACAAAAGCACTTCCGAACTAAAAGACTGTAGTAAAACAGCTGTTAGCACTTGAAACTGTGGTTACTGCTTCCTCTACTGGAACGGGATTCGTTCTGCCTTTCACTTATACTTTTCCATTGAGATCCGTCGGGTTGTTCGGGTATGATGTGTGGTAGTGATGATTTATTTCGAAAAATTGCATACATCATTCTAATCCCTGGTGCAGAGGTACTACCAAGCGGCTCAGTTCTGAACGGAACTTTATACTACCGAGAAATCGAGGTTAGCAACATACCTTCTGCGTATCCTGTATATGAATCATATTTTCGCTAAACAACTTAGATCTTTATCGTATCTGATTTATCATCGGCAAGGGAAGTCACTGACTAGTAGACCAGATAGTATTAGTCCGTGTCGTTCTCCAAGTTGAAATCCACGCGACAGACTCAGCGTATGATTCAAGCCTATACCGAACATTGTTCGAAACAGTCACCAAAATCACTTTAGAAGTCGTCCCCTAGTCGGAGTGCGCATTTGAAGCGCGCCTGATGCTGGATTATGAGTGGCGGAGGGTTGATTGTTGCGCGTGATGCTGAAAGCCGCATAGTAGCCTCCTCTATGATAGCTCCTTTTGTTTATCTGACAACCCCTTAACGTCACTGGGCCTTGTTAGTGTTTTGTAGGTGCCTTCATTTTGTTGTTTTATCCAACGCATTGGGTCCTCTTCTTCCCCTTTATTATCCCCTGTTAGTAGCGTTAGTATGAGTGTAGGACAGCGGGACATCAGTGCAGAGTACCGATGTAACGCTGTTGTTGATGAGGTTGAAGTCGTTGCGTCGACTTACATGACAATACGCGTGCTGTTCATTTTGTTTTGTTTTGTGGTTTGTTCTAGTTCTGTCTAATGACTGCCTTCTCTCATTCTTTATAACAGTGGTTACTCGAAACATTGCATTTTGAAAAATCGGTTGTCCATTATTTCCTTCATTGTCCCATCTCACTTTAGTGCGATGTCGTGGCAAACAATGATAAGCTTCTATCGTACTCCTGTTGTTATGAACCGCGCATGGAAGGCGAGCACAGAATCATCATCAAGTTCGCTGGTCGAGAAATCCCCAATTCACCCTTCCGTATTTTCGTGGAAGGCGCAGCCGGAGATCCGTCCAAAGTTGTTGTCAATGGTCCCGGCGTCGATAAAAACGACGAACATTTTGTCGGACGTCGAACATATTTTACCGTGAATGCTCGAGGTGAGGCAGTACTCTGTGTGATTATTGCATTTTATTAGGTTTACTGTATGCCCCCGATATTTCCTCCACTTTTAACCTTTGTGGCTCCTAAAATATGTCATTGCTGCCCTTAACTCGTCCGTCATTTTCGTGAAGGTGTTAATGTAGCGCCGGTTTTTAACTCACCAGAGAACGCCTATACAATCTAACTTAGCAGTTTGTCTCTCACTTATATAGTACACTTCTGGGAGAATTGACCCTGTTCTCTCGTAGCTCTCTGCATTTGACTATGACGCAGTATTAAGGTCATGTAGCAACTGCATTTCGCCACTTTTCCTTCGACTACGCTTCTTGATGTGAATCAGCTTATCATTCTGTATGACCCCTTGTGAAACGGCTTCGGAGATACTGACCCCATCTAATCTTCCACATTCATCTGCATAATGGGTTCAATTCCTTGTTCCCAGTCCCTTTATTGAGTGCTGTAAAGTATTCCACTTAATAGATGTCCACAGTATTCGGACGCAGTCGTTAAATTGTAGTAAGACAATCGGTGCTCCAAATGTTCCTTGATATTTTCTCCCCGCTATCCCTTACGACTCTCATGCAAGTCTACCATAAAATTGCTCTCGCTTGACCATTTAGACCGTCAAAATTTAATTAGACCGGAATGTCTTACATCCTTTGCTGATCCGTTCCGAATTCAAGTAGCTCATTTTCGGTATCGTTTGCTTCCAGTGTTACTTCTCACATTCAATTTCCTCCCTGTTTGAATTCGTCAGTTGGAGTTAACTGAGGAGAGTGCAACATCAAAATTGTTCCCGCTCCTGACACGGCTTGACTGAGGTTCTCTAAATTAACCACTTCCCAACTTAAAAATGTGCCTCACAATCCGACCATGCAGCATGTGCACCAAACTGCACATTTACGTGAGGGCGGTTTTTTCGATCCACTCTTTCTCCGTTCAGATGCCGGCAATGGTCTCGTGCAATGCACAATCGTCGATCCAAACTCGCGCCAAGACGTAGTGAAAGCGCATATCACACAACCCAGTGGAGATGCCGTTTACCGCGTGGAATACACACCAAAAGAGCCTGGCGTTCACCAGATTCTCGTTACCTTTGGTGGAACAAAGCTTCCAAACTCACCATACTTCATACATGTATCTCCTGGTGAGTTGCTCTAATGCATATGCCACTACCTGTATCACACCCGTAACCACATAAAAATATTGTATTCTCGAGGCACGCAAATGGAAATGCCTCAGTATTTCTCGAATTCAGGTTCAAAATGAAGCCGAGCTGTCTCGCTTTTTTGTCCACACATGCGCACACACACACACACACACACACACACGTATCTCCTTACTAGCTTCTCCAATTGACTTGTCCCAATCAATCAAATCAACAACGACAGTACATCAGCCACTGGTTGCCACACAACCATGATAACCTATGGAATAAAACTACTAAGAAGGAGAGATGGGAGACTTACCGGAAAACTTTAATGCCCTAAGCAAATATTCAGAGTCAAGGCGCCTCCTACAACTTGTGTCAACAGTATATGGCTGTCATGCAAAGATAAGGCGGCATCAACGAGCCAGCTTCCTTGTGGCTTTCACTGCCCCGCGTCATAATCAGCGATTACCCTGAAGATAACTCCGCACCCAACACACGTTAAACAGGCAGTCCAACTAGGAGACGGCAGCAAACGCGCCACTGGTGTCGATTGTGAGCCATGTCCTGTAAAGTCTCGAGCCAAGCACAAGGCGAGTCACATGGACTCCAGCGTAGAAGGCGAGACGGACTGACAGCACCGAGTTTGGTCGTCAGTGACTTCATTTCCCGCTACCAAGTCTACTTCTGTCCACCTCGAGCCTTACGCCACTCTACTTCTGGCATACAAACCAAAGCCCTCTTCGGTAAGCGGTGATCGGACATGCGAAGTACGTGCCCTAGCGAACGCGACTTATTCAGTGCTATCTGTTCTAAGGAACCAGTTTGGTTATCACTGCTTAGTACTCGCCTACGCACAACATCGTTGCGGACACGCTGGTGGCATTTGGTGCCAGCAATACTCCGCAGTCAGTGATGATCCAAGACTTGAAATCGCCGAAGAGCTTCAGACTGGTGGGGCCAAGTCTCACTCGCATAGAGTAGAACGGCCGTCACTTTAGTCTTGTGTACACGGCTTTTCAGATGGAAGGAAACTCCCTTCTGTCGCCAAAGATGCCGCAGGTGCAAGAAGGTAGTTCTGGATTTTGCAATGCCATTGACTTGTCTCGGTTACCGCGATCAGAGAACTCTTGCGTATGAATAATGTCTACAGTCGCGCACATTTCGTATTTCTCATTCCTTCGTGCTCCATCGCTGTCATCCATTTAGATGAAGTAACAGAATAAGGATGTGGAAAACTTCTTATTAGTTACCCCTTGGACCACATAGCACCGCCTTTCCTGACCTCAACTTTATCGATGCTGGGTCAAAGCGTCGAGTAGCCGCTGGTTTTGCACACTGTTGGCTGACCCTAATGCGGCTGTGTTTTGACGCCGAGGATGTTGAAGTTGATATGTATGACGTTTATTTGTTGGACTTTTATTTTTGATCCGGAAGCGTGTGATCAAGCGAATCCCCTCCGTGACAGGAGTGTTATACCAGAGCGAACGGACGGGCCAAAAGCGCGAGTCTGATAACCAATGGTCGACGTGTGTAACTGGTTTGATTGCTGCACATGGATTGGACGACATTCATGTGGTTTAATCATCCTTTGTTTACCTTAGTCAAAGGAAGTACCTCACTGCTTCGGAAGGGTCGTTAGTTATGGTCGTGAAGATGTAACTTATATCGAGGAGTTTGGCTTGCCAGACGTGCTGTATTTTTCGCTGAGTTGTCTTTTCCGCATAAATGCTTGTCCCCGAAGGACTGAGTTTTGGAACCTGGTGTCAGAGAAGACAAGCATGAATTCCACCGGCAGCGCTCGGATGTTGTTTGGATCACCGGCGTATATTCAGATGCATGCCCCTTTGAACATCGATGAACAGAACTTGGCGAGTGATTGGCGTCAATGGAGGAGCAAGTGGGTGGATTTCTATACATTAGTACGATGAGACTGGTCCTTAACCTGGTGCAATACCTCCTGTGCCACAGTGATCCATTGAGCAATGCTGTGTGGTGCTTTTTTGCACCTTCAAAGCCACTCATATCAGATTGTTCAAAGGTTACGGGCCAGACAAACTCCGTCTCCTGACTCTCCAGGTTGGCAGTTAGAGTAAGTGACTCCTTATTCCGTGAACGGGCTCTCTGTAGCCCGTTGTCTTGCGGTAAGGTTTCTGAACCAAAGGCTTCGGTTGAGAACGCTAATCGTTCTTCTGTCTAGACCTGGACAGCTTGGCAGTATCATGCCCACGCAATACTCAATGATCTTTCCTTCAAACAATCTCTTGATGCTCTGGCCGTCGCAGAGGATAAGAAACAGCGCATCATCATCATCATTATACACGTCAGCTAGAGGTCGGGAAACACCTCAGCTACTGTGCCGCAGTACATAAAGGAAAAGGAAAATAAATACAAAAGGTACATCCCAGCTGAGCTACCAGCAACGGATAGGCATCGTTCCGGTGAGCTACCAGCCGGCTACTAGGCAAAAAGAAAAATGTTTTACTCTAAGAAATGAGATCGTAGGTGGAGGGGAAGGCTAAAAGGGATGAGGAGGGACAAAGAAACTCACAGCAGGAACGCCACTGAGGTCGGCTCCTTGCCATGTCAGCAAGTGTATCCAGCCAAACGTGTTCACCGTCTTTTGGACCCCAACCAGGGAGCCGTGACGCCCAACCGAGGCCAGCTCCGAAGTGAAGGCCTTCATTCTTCTCGACCAAGTCATCGCTTGGCCACCCCTTCTCTTTTTCCCTCCACATCTCCGGTGAGCAAACAACGCACGTCGTGGAAGTCGGTGGGCTGGCATGCGCAACGCGTGGCCCAGCCATCGGAGGCTGGTGCGTGAAAGGACGGTGCTGAGCGGTTCAGTTCCTTTTCCTGTGTCGTAAACAAGGCGTCGAACACGCTCGTTACTCACGCGGTGTTACCACCAGATGTGAGCCAAACTGCGAAGGCACCGATGGTCGAACGTAACTAGCCTCTTCATGTCCGCCGATCTTAGGGGCCAGGTTTCGCAACCGTACAGTAAGGTCGAACGTACCGCTGCATTGTACACTCTACCCATCAGGGCGACAATAATGTCACGCCACCGCCATAGGTGGCGAAGGTTAGCAAAAGCGCCTCGAGCTTTTACTGTACGGTTCGTGATCTCGTCTTCGATCCCAAGGGCGCTGATACAACTTCCCAGGTAGTTGAATTTCCGAACGACTTCTAGCTGATCCCCACCAAGGGTCATCGCAGGAGGCGATCCCTGCCAATCTTGGCGGAACGGTTTTCATTTCGATGGTGCGAAGCAAAGCCAGAAGCGGCTGAAAGCCAGTGCTAATCTGTCCAGCGCGGCTTGGCACGTCTGGGAGCTGTCACAGATGAGCGCAAAGTCGTCTGCATACTCCAAGTCGAGAAGTGGTTCTCCTGGGAGTAGCTCCACACCTTCCAAGTCATGTCCTGTAAATACAACCTCAATGACTTCGTCAATAGGGAAGTTGAAGAGGAAAGGTGACAGAGGGCATCCTTGTCTCACACCGCTGGAGATATTGAAGGGTGGCGACAGCTTGCCGTAAGCCCTCACTCTGCCCATGCTACGCGCGTATAATGCTCGGATAATATTTACATATTTCTCGGGCACACCTTTCCTGAGTAGAGAATTCCAAAGGGCACATCGATCAACCGAATCGAAGGCACCTTTGCTGTCGAGGAACACGACTACGGTGGGCCGCCAATATGTGTGACGGTGCTCCAACAACCGACGCAAGGTGAAGATGTGATCGATGCAGCCACGACCCCGACGAAACCCGGCTTGCTCCTCACGAATCTGGCTTTCACGAGTGCCATTCAGTCTGTGAAGGATTATGGAGGCGAGTAATTTGGAGGCGATGGAGCTCAGACTGATTCCTCTATGGTTGCTGCATTCCGAACGCGAGCCTCCTTTGAAGACGGGAACAATAACGGAGCGGCTCCAATCGGTTGGGACAGTCTCCTGCTCCCACAGTTTCACTAGTAATTCATGTAAATCATCAACAAAAGCAGAGCCTCCGAATTTGAAGAGGACTGGAGGAAAATCATCTGGTCCCGCTGCTTTGTTCAACTTCAACAGTCCGATCTCACTTTCGACTTCTGAGCGAGAAAGTGGACCCAAAGGGACAGCCCGTGGAGCAGGGCGATCACTGGCCGGCAATGTATCGAACAATTCCGACCGATTAAATTGTTTTTCAAAATGCTCAGCCCAACGCTCCAAGCGTTTTGACAAATTGTGGATAGGCTGTCCACTCCTGTCTTGTATAGTTTCACTAACACCATGTCTCCTGTTGCCCGTTTCTCGTATCAGACGGGATAGCTTACGATGATTGCCAAGGGCAGCGGCCACTTCCATCTCTGACGCACGGTGAGACCACTAAGATTCGCGGTCTCTCTTCAGTCTAGCACGGACTCTTGTCCGGAGCTCTTTGCGTGTTTCATTGTGTTCGCTTCTAGCCGGAATATGCCGGCGAGCATCGATAAATTCCAGAGACTGCGAAGAGACCCAACAACCATGTTGTCTATTAGACTTACCACATGAGAATTTGCCTGTTGCTAGTAAGGTCTGGTGAACATGTGACCAGTGACCATCAATTGTCTCCAGTGAGCGCTTACTCGCATGTCAGCGTACTTCGATGAGCATTTAGAGCAGCTGGCTTTGTCAGTTGGCTGGTGTCAATGCGCTCACAACGTCGTCGTGGGCGTCCGCCAAAACGCATCCGCATGTCAGCACATACAAGTGCATGATCGGTGTCCACACATGTGCTCCAAATCAAGCGACAGTTCTGGACGTAGCCTCTCCATCGGTAACTTATCGCAATGTGATCGATCTGCGTCCAAGGCTGGTTCGAGGCTGGTGGGCGCCAAGTCACCCTCCGGCGGGTGCTGTGTTGGAAGTTAGTGCTCGCAAGAAATAGGCGAGCATCTTCACACAAATGAAGTAACCGCTCACCGTTATCATTACGGGGGCCTACACCGTGCTGACCGCCCAGATGCATTTTATC